GAATAAATAGCGGACCAAAGAGTAACTTTATTTGTTTAAGAGTAACTTTATTTGAAACGGAAGCCATTTTGTTTTTCCTCGGTTGCTCAGAGGTGAATAGTGCTTGGCTAATCACCTCCAAGCTAGCCAATCAGCGTGCACGAAGAGTGCTATTCACTTGTGTGGTATATACTAATGATAATAATAATGCTTTATTTATATCTATATTGTCAAGAACACAAGGTCAAGTCAACAAAAGATGTGGGTTGCCAATAAAAATAACCATCTACCCATGATCTCTGTCAATAACATTACTAACATTACTAACGTTACTAACATTATTAACAGAGATCACAAAGTAGATGATAGCATTGAGATTTATTTCTTACATCTCCAGTTGGGTATAACTGAATATCACTGGACCCAGGCTGACTAAGGAAAGTTGCACAGTCTTTTGGCATAGTTCCACCGGGTTCGGGTTTGGAAGATGCCAAGCTATAAAGAGCGTAACGAACACCAGATGGAGTCTTCAGCATCACATGAACTCCTGCAGATAAAAACAATACACCTGTACGTTGGTAAACAATAATCATTGACACTACTACAAATGTATGCCACTAGAAGTAATAAATTAAAGACAAATTGCCAGGTATTTACTGCAACTAGTACAAAATACACTTTTTCTTGTGGCTTATTTATACTACTGGTCAGGAGCTCCTTGGTGCAACTCAAATTCTATTGCACATCAAGAGACACAAGTGCACTGTCAATCTAGCAACCACTAATGCCTTTGCTCTTTTGGTTTCAAAGGAGCTCAGTCACGGCATTTTGAATTATTTTGGCCAGGTTCAAAATGACATGTATAGACTTTAATTAAACTTTTCAAGATGTGCAAATGGCGACACACCCTGGTAGCTCCTTTCAGGGCAGACTGACGTTAGAAAGGAGGTATTTTTACATTTCTCCTCACTCTCTCTTTTCATCTGCCCATTCCTCCCTCTCTCATTCCCTTGCTTTCAAATGATCTACATGTACCTCTCAAATTCAGTAGTAACCTAGCAAACAACTTCTACATCTTGCAGNCTAGGGGACGTTCTTGCACGCGGCCTTTCATATCTCCTCAGAGCTTTATTATCTAGCTCTCTGCACGCACTGCAGGCCTATGATGCTCCCTCATCATAGAGAGATAGATAATAAAGCTCTGAGGAGATAATTATCTCCTCAGAGCTTTATTATCTAGCGCTCTGTACGCACTGCAGGCCTATGATGCTCCCTCATCATAGAGAGCTAGATAATAAAGCTCTGAGGAGATAATATTAATTTTTACACATCATCATATCTTACATATAATTATCAGCTTATCAGTTTAGTGCCACATGAATAAACTAGTTTCACAGTCATGTTAACTAGTAATAAGATATTTTTTTAACAAAACTTTGTTACATGAATGAACTGATAGGATGAAACAACCGATCAAAGGGGCAGTCTCACCAAGATTTAGTGCTACTTGAAAATCCAAAGAAGGTGTTGGTATTAATTGGAAATCCACAAGTAGTTGCCTAACCTTGCTAAAATGCACCGTACTAGTCACGACAGTTGTTTACAACTGTTGTGGCTATGGATGAGTAGGAAAGAAGTGGTCTAAAACTAGAAAAAGGCAGGCCCACGTTTGCAAGTTTGACAATGTTACTTGGAGGAAAAATCATTGATATCTTAGAGATTGAATTTATGCCTTTTTTGTCGTTTTAAGGTTATTTTGTTGATCAGTGAGTGCAGCTTTATAATTCTAGCATAGTTTGCACAAAAACTTGGAAGACTCTCATGATACTGCCCCTTTAAGCATAGCAGTTACCTGAAGTTCATCCTTGCGTAGAAGACGTACGTCCTGCAGAAGAGATCCACTGGCCTCTTCATTTGAGAGAGCTGTAGCTGCAGCCTGAAGAGCACTATCTTTGGGTGGAAACTTGACAGCAGCGTAAGGTCCATCCACCTGGAAAACAAAATAATGCCACGCATTGAAATAACTGCCAACACTTCAAGTACAAACGTAACACCATTTTGTTGAGAGTTCATATGCACTAAGATACTGTAAGCTGGGATATTTCCATAAACTACACTGCATCCTTCTAAAAAAAGCTAGATGCACTTACTTTAAGTACTTTTCCAACAGGAATGTTATGTTTATCTTCTACAAAAATAACATCTTTCAAATCCCAATCCTGAACAGATTTATCTTCTGCTGCCTCTACTGATGGATCCTTTTTACGCTATGCAAATGACAAATCAATGAAAAATCAACACAATCCTACATTTGATATTCACAATATTGAAGGGGTGAGTGGAATAAAGCCCTAAATACCTCTTCCTAACTGAGTTTGAGGGCCATATTGTAAGTCACGGACCGAGTTTATTCCACATCGATTTATGGCCCAAGCGCGAAGCATGGGGGCCATAAATCGAAGGGGGAAAAACAAGGATCCATAACTTACAGTACGGACCAAGAAAACGAGGTTAGTAAGGTATTTATATCTCTGCTGGATGTCTGACGGGTTCGGGAACGGTTTCTATTCACACAGAACAGCTTCAAATTTCTGACACACCTCAAAAGCTAAACTAGTCAATTTGAAATCGTTAGTAGGTTTTAATACACAGTTTTAGAAGTAAAAGAAAGTTTTAAACTTTTACCTCCTAAAAATGTTAAGAACACTTGGCGAAACACTTTGGCAACAAAAACAGCTTTAGGGGGCCGTACAGTAGATTACGGCCCGCTAAATTGACCAATCACAGCGCACATACTAACTGAGAGATATAATAAGTGACTTTAATTTTGGAAAACATTGAGGCAACAAGTATTGGAATACCTTACAGCAATTTATACAGTTTACTCTTGTTTTCATTATTGTCTAAAAAGAACTAGTAGTAATTGCTAGTTCTTTTGAGACAGTAGCTAAAACCTGATAAACTGTGAAAATTGCTGGTAGGTATTTCAATCTTGGCTGCCTCATAATTTCAAATGTCCGTCGTGTTTTATCACAGTGTAATATTATACTAGCTTAGGCTTCTTCATTTGCTTTATGATATAGAGGTAATGTGGTGGCAAAAAACAAAAAAACCTGCTTTTTCTATGTTTTATACTCTGATAAAACATGGGTTTTTCAACCAATCAGAATGTGTGCAGGGTCCTATCTGTACTATAATATGTGAAAAAATTAAATAGATTCCATGCTCTGGTGAGTCTGTTTAGTCATAGATTACAGACGATGTCAAAATGTGGTAGGACCAAAATAGTGGCACAAGAGCTGTTAGNTTTAATGAACAAACTATAGCTGATCTTGCTGTTACTGTCCAAAATATCAGTTTTTGAGCACATGCCCATATTTTACCTTGCCAGACTCTGTGAGAACAGAAGCTCTTATGGAGGATGCAGACACTGATACAACCTTTTCGTCCACGAGCCCGAGAGCTTTGACCCTGGGGTGATATACAACATCTTGTTCTCTGTAAGGCAGTGGATCTTCCCATTTCCATTGATACAGCTTGCCATCTGCTCCAACACAGACCAGCTCTGAGTACATGGCAGCAATGTGTGTAAAGCGTGTGAAGTGACCATCCTACAGAAGAATGTTGCATAGTTTATGAAAAGTTCAGATCAGCAGCTGTTTGATCAGTAATCTCTACACATGTACACTGTAACTACAGTAACATATCGCAAGGTAGTCCCGCGGCAAATTCAAGCATTCTGATTGGTTCTTTCTTAATCAGACTTATGCAATTAAGACCATTTCCATGGAAATAGTTATGAACCATGAATTTTGTTTTGTTTTGTACACGGATATAATAAACCACAACACCAACCTTGCTAACTTGAGTTGTACTGGGAAATATATGAGCCAAGTGCTCAACCTCTGGTCAATATTCCCTGGTACAGCCCTTATGCTTGCTTAGTAAGAGGCTAGTCTAAAAAAGAGGTTGGTCCCTGTTTTGTATTTACCTTGAACTGTTTTTTTTTTTTTATTGACATGGATCATGTCATCAGTGATGAATCGATTCATGATTTTTTTCTTACCAAGTCTGGTGGCCACCACTGGAGAAGATCTGCAACACTCACAGGATCAGCAGAGAAACTCTGAGATGATAACTTATCCTGGGGTGGTTGTTTGGGGACATTGCTTGACGTCCCACAGTCAAGACCCCCTGCGTGTATGTTCCCAAGCCATCGATCTCTTTCCCTCCTCAGTGCCTCCCTCTCTCTGGTTCTCTCCCTGTCACGATCTGCCTCTCGCTCAGCAGCAGTCCGTGAGGCACGAGCGCTGCTATTAGGACGCCGATGTATTGTTCCATACTGAGAGCTATAGAACATGTCTTCTGAAAATATGGCCTCTGGATCAACTACAAATGATGGGTCATCAACATGGACACCAGCATCTAGCAATGACATCAGGTCATCTGAAGACCACAAAAGAAAGACAGTTTTCCACAATTGTAACATGCTTTATAGCTTATTTCAATCACTTGACTGTTAATTACATGTATGCTAAATAAAACTCATGTAATATATTTACGTCTACTGACAATGAACAGTCTCACCCCCAGGAAGATACTCAGGGTTTTCATCATCATCACCATCATCCTCATCTCTGCTTAGAAGATTGTTCACTGCTAAGTTCACATCGAGATTCTGAGAGAAAAAACAGCGAAGTCAAAAGCTAACATTTAGTTACAGAACTTCAAGAGAAAGTATGGGGGCAACATTTTGTTCTTCACTATTCTCTTCCACATGTTTCTGTCAGTCAACCAGTTCTCCCCAGCTGTCCACATATGATAGCAGTACTCATCTAGTCATTGTACTTCATGGCTATGTATAAACTTTCGTTCACATTTTATCATTTCATACATGTATCTGGACACTTCAACCAAGTTCCTCACATTACCACAATTCATGAATGCTGTTGTACATATACATGATTATAGTACTTTCAAAGTCACTCTTAATACCCTGTAATTCTTTCACACTTGCTTGGTACAGCAAAATTTGTCCACATGTAAATAAATTACTTTTATTATTTAGTAACTGTATAGAGTTAACATGGCATGACTCCACATTATTTCCTCAGAACACTAACTTACTGTTCTCTGCAGCTCCCTTATAATGGCAGCTCGAGATTTGCCTTGTAGAACAACTTGGGCCTAAACAAATATGAGGATGAATTCATGAGCAGTTGTTTACAACAATATTCAGAACTTGATACACCATAAATGACAAATATAGCAAGGCTGACTTAGCAAACAACTAATGTGTAGTCTTGAATGCTATCAATCATCCAAAGTATTGCAGCAGGGTCTTTTTATGGTTAGAGTGTTCCAATTACATGAAGCTGATCAGAACTCAGGACAACCAAGGAAAAAATCTAGCTGAAGCTTCTCAGTCATGCTGCTATCAGAGAAAAAATGATGACCAAACAGCATAGCAAGAACAAAGTTCTGTATCAAAATATAATGCTCTAAAAGAAGGAAAAAGTAGCATTCTACATGTATTTCTTGAGTTCAGTGCTCACAAGTTACACACACAAGCAAGTGACTCACTTGATTGACTAGCTCTTCTGGGACAGCTGTTGCAGGTACAACACGGGAACCTATTGCCCATCCAGATGCCCCTCCCCTTGCACCCCTCCTCACCACACGGCCACGCCCACGGACTGGGGTACGGGCAGATGTTCTTAATGACATGGCTGAAGGAGCAGAACCCCAGCGACTTGAAGAGAAAATAAATAGTCACAACAGTTATTCAGAGTTGCCATTGGCTGTTAAACAGGCTTGTCCAGATGTGTTATACATTGTTTTGAAGTAGCCTATATTGGCATGAGAACAAATTTTCATCTTGTCAATGGAAATGAAATGAACACTGCATTTACTATTTTGTTCTGATACAAAATGAGATAGTTTCAAAGATTTCACTGCACTCAGATTTACAGAATTAAGCTGTCCATGTGTCAGAAATGCAGGAAAAATGGGGAGTCACTGGCTTTGTTTTAGAGAAAACCTGTCTGGAAAAATTCCCTGATTTTGAAAAAAATTGGTGTACATACATGTAACAAACTTAGCATGGTCTCCACGGTTTTTAGTTAAAAGTATTGAAGAAGAGCCAGTGGAGCCAAATGCACTTGTCATTTTCTGCATGTTACATGAAAGTGGGTTCATAGTATTAATTAACAGATTCAAATGTTGCCATCCTTTTAATATAAATGGAAAGCTGTGCGTTATCAAAAAAAAAAGAAAGAACTTGGGGTAACCTAGCATGCAAAGACAGCCTTACCAATAGCCTGGGGGTGGTGAATTTTTCAGGTTGGATAGTGGATTCTATCCTTCCCATGCCCAATGTGCAAAACTTGTAAAGGTTTTTTTGAGGGGTAAAATTAACGAAAAATTCAAATTTCCAGAGAACTGTAAAAGACAAAATTGTCATTTCAATTTTGATCTTAAATAACTTAATTGTGGTACTGAGAATATGACTGCCAGGCTAGTACAGTTTACATGCAGTTCCAGCTTGCCTGAAGGACAAGCTGGATTATATTTTCTTTGCACCCGGGTATCCTCCACGCAAAGTCATACATGTAGCAGTGGCCACTAGCATTTATCACTTTGTGTGGGCATTGGATGTATGATGTTGCATTTGGTCTGATGTTAATTGAATACCTAATGACAGGATGTCCTGTGAGACCACTGAGTGTTTCTCCACTGTTTGAAAGGACCCATGAGCTTTCGCCTTGGTTACGAGTCCCACCGCCTACTGCCAGAAGAAAACAACAACACAACAAACGGTTACCTTTCACTTTTTTGGCATACCATTGTTTGCTTGTCTTTAAAATTGTTATTGGTTTTTTGCAAGGTCAAGGATGATAATGACTATGTATAAATCATAATGTCAGCTCCCTCGATTAGCATGTCATCATTATAATGGCAATAACCAAGGCAGAACTGAATAAGACACTACTCCTGGTTGAATGAGCCACTAGACTTGAAAGCATTTTTAGAAACTTTTTAGGATAAATGTCGTGTCAGTACGATTACAAAATAAGTGTTACAGACCAACCTGCATGTAAAACTATGTGAGATGTAGATCTTGCAGCAGTGTTACTGTTATCTTCCTCTCTATAAAATAAGAAAACAAAACAATGAGACAAATAATTATATTTTTAACATAACACATGCATGAAGAACTTACTGTAGGAACAAGTGCTAAAGATTTCTCATGTATTTAATAAGAACTGTACACAATTTAACCCAAGAGTACCATATTACAGGTAAGTCTATATATTATACTAAAAGCAGAAAACCTGTCTCTGAAAACTCTTTCATAAAGACAAAGGAAATAGTTGAAAAGCAAGTTCTGCTGCAATTTTGTATCAGCAACAGCACTTACACAGTGGAGTCTCTTGACGACAGATCCAGCTTGTCTGGATGAAGGGTGAATGGCACTCGGCACACTTGTCCATTCTGAAAATGGAGAAAACATATATATACAGTGTAATCCATAGGATTATGGAAGACTCAATACCGTAACACCATTGAGCCAAGCCTTGAATACAGAGCTCTCAATCTGGAGTCTCCTACACTAACCACCTGCCCATCATGCTTTCCAGGGCTCCAAGCTACAACTGTTTTAATTGCCATTGCAAGTGAAAAAAAATTGGCAAATGCAGTTGCCACAAAAGTTGCCAATTTTGGCATTACTGTTTCCAATACGGAACTTTATTATATAAAAAAAAAAGATAGATTCCATGTTGCTATGCATCTGTTCAGTAATTAATTGCAGTTCAAAGACATCAAAAATAAATGTCAAGAACATCCATTCAGAGACACACCCAACTATCACTTAGCTTCGTGTACCAATTTTTTGTCCTAACCACTTTAACACTTTGATCTCAGTGTTTAGAAAAAAACATTGCCAATTACTGAACAGATGCACGGCAACAGGTACTATTTGTATGGCAAGCTGTTAGACAATGGTAACAAAGAAAAGGCTTTAGCCTGCAGACCAGTACATTAGATTAGACTTCCACTGTGTCCTTCCATTCTGTATATAGCTGTAGTGAAGACCATTGCTGGATGGTTCATAACTCACCTCCAAAAGAAAGGCTACATGTCTTGGTCCAACCACACATTCTTTGATGACTTGATCCTTAAGTGCTTGAAGAACAGGAGAACTGAAGAAAAGAGAGAACACTCTAACTTTCTCCACCAATAAAAGTATATTGATAGAAGGAAAGAAAAATACAGATTAAGAGAAAGACAAAAAGACAGAACACTAAAGGTTATTTGGAAGTACACTAGAAGGCCATGAAGACAATTCCTACAACTACAGTCTTCCAATGGAGTTCTGAAATAATCTTTCCTTTGATCTCTTTTCTCAGGGAAAATCAAGTGCCCTGCTTCCCCTTCAATAGGCCCTTTGCAGCTGGCGTCACATGACAAAGTTTTTCCTAAAATTTTATACTAAGGGTTATAACTTAAAGAATGCAAGAAATGGAAAGATCATAAAGAAAATAGCAAAATTGCCAAATGTGAGGTCCCTGGTATTAAAGAGTAAGTTTATACGACAGTTAGAATTTTCAGAAAAGTTAGAGGATTTCTATGGAAAATGTTGCTGGAGAGCAAGGTCTTGCTCTCCAACAACTTCCTCTATACAAATCATCTTAATTTTTTAAAAATTCAAACCTCATAAAATCTCATTCTGTAATGCCAGGGACCTCAAACTTGGCCATTTTCATATTTTTGACATACCTATTCCATTTCAGGCATTCTTTTAAGTTTTAGGCCATAATTTTATGAAAAGTAGGTCGTGTGATGGCTAAGCTGTAAAGGACATATTATTGTTAAGCCTTGTATAGAATTTAAGAATTTGCACCACTGAACCCCCTGTAAACAGCCACCCAAAATAGCTATATTAGAAAGCAAATAGCAGTGGTATTTAAGCCATGCACTGCATTCACATTAGGCCAAAATATGTTTAAAGTGTAGAGTCTTAATATAAAAAAAAGATGTTTTGATATACGGGTTATCAAAAGTAGCTGCAGCTGGGAAATCACCATCTACTTCAACTACTGGCTTCTCTGCCTGATATTCGCTTGATTCTTAAGAGAAAGACGGCACACCTAGTACATGTATGTACTCCACCATCTTCAAAACTTTGTGACTGTGAAACATGCTCACATCAACGTGATATGTTTTGCATGACTGGTCAATCTAAACATGGTCGAAACTTGCGTGTGTGATAAGCCAAAAAAACACTTTGAAATTGGCAATGTGAGATGCTGTAAAACTGAGTAAACTATAGAAACACACAAGAAATATGTTACCCAGGATATGGACACCATATATGTTTTTTCAATTGTATATTTATATTGTAATTAAGGTCCACTAAATTAGAAGAATTTTTACAATGGAATCCTTACAAAGCCAAAGCTGTAGTTGTTGAACTGCTTTGTACTGAAAGGAGAAACTAACTGTTCGCCTGTTTCTTTACGGCCTATGAACTTACATGTAGAAATAGTCCTTAACAGTTGTGTTGAGAGATCTCAAAACAGCTGTAAGCTTTCATGCGACAATGATGCAAATAATTAAGTTCTTCTTCCACGAGTTGACCACAACTTTATGGCAAATATATAAGTTCGGCCATTTTCAGTTAGGAGTGAATGTAAGCTCACAGTTACTATACAAGGAAAGAAAAGGTGCTCGAGTGGTGATGAAATTGTTGAACAACCCGCGCCATGTGCGGTGCAAGCATGCTTAATATAAATCGTGTATTTGGCACACGGACAAATAGAAAGGGAACAAAGAAGGAACCGTAAAACAAATTAAAACTCTGTCAAAGCTTCATCTTTCATTCTCAGAAGTTAAACAGAGAATGTTCAGCAAGCATGCAAGCTTAAATATGAACATTTTCATTTCTTAACCTGTTCCGCCAAAGTCAAACTTCCTACGTAAAATCATACCTCAGAAAACCACTTTTTTCCTTCGACTCCGAAACCTCCTTTAGCCTGAAAAAATGAACAAACGATACATTATGAAAACCACCACCGTATCTCGACAATTATACAGCATTCTCTTTATAAACCTCGGGTCTCAGACGCTCAAACCAGTTCAAAGCACACCTTTTCGTACCATGAAGAGACGCTTACCTCTCGTGTAAGTCTTCTACTGTCCCTGGTAAAGGATGAACGGCGATGTGAATGGTTGGCATGACGCTAAAAAGGGGAAAAACAACTTTTATACCATTGATAAAACGGCTTTCACGAAGAGTTTTTCTCTCGTGGTGACTTCAGTTGTTGCGAGTAAGAAACCAATGCAAAGAGACCGGTTCGAGAAGAAACTCGTCCCAGACCACTCGATCCAGATTGATCTTGAAAAGAGGCTGAGGAGCAGGACCTGAGTTCTAGTCCTCAATAAGTCAGTGACAACAGTGACGGACATTGATAACAAATTGACGTCAGTTTTTCGTGCGTCTGTCCCGTTATGAATCATGAATTTCGTCATAACAATGTCAAAGTAGCTGTAGATCCATGAAGTGATAGCCGAGTGGATCTGCAGACTACTTTGGCAATGTTATGACAAAATTCATTGTCAATAAGAGGACAGACGCATGAAAAACTGATGCCAATTTGTTTTTTCACAATAACAAATTGTCAAATTGTCCCCCTCGTATTCCGCTCTCGCTGGTTGACGTCTCGCATAAATTATAAATTCATGTGTATTGTCTGTCTGCTTATTGACAATGAAAATTAGCCAATGTGTAGTTCCAGAAAATATCCATACCTCCCCCACAGAAGGGATTTTTTTCTAAGAACCCCACACCCCTCTGGAAATTCCAATAAAGTTTCACACATTTCTTTAAATTTTTTGGTCTTACAGAACCCCCCACCCACCAGGAAATTCTAATCCCTTCTGTGGGGGGAGTATGGATATTTTCTGGACCCTGCACAATGAGCAATCAAGAATTTCTGCAATTATCATAAAAATATGATTGGTTAATTCAAATTTCAGGTGCACCAGCCATATGCAAGGAAGAAGTAGGGTTTTCACAAATAATTTGAACAAAAGAAAAGGCAACTGTCATTTAGGTATTTGAAAAAGGCCTTTCAAAGTATCGTATAAAGATGTCCCTAAACGGCTGATTTCCCCGGGTTACTAAAAGTGAAAAGTTTAGAAAAGTACACTCAATTTTTGTAATCACATAAATTATGGTAGAGAGGGTGTATAAAAGGGATGCAGTGTTTCTACTGTAGATAAATATGTGAAGTTTATAAAATAAATAGAACATTACATGGCTGCTTGGGGATACAAAAATTATTTCTCTTAGAGTGTTGAAAAATATTCACTCATTCACTGCTCTCACTCGTGAAATATTTTTCAACATGCAAAAAGAAATTTCATTTCTCTACGTAGACTGCTGGCAGTCTTTTTTTCTCTCTAAATTCAGCAATTAAGGGTTATGAGGCGAGATGCTTTGTCCTAATAGGGAATGGGACGAGAAATGGGTGCTGCACGCACGAGAAGAAACACAGACAGCTTTTTCTCGTCTCGCCTTCTTCCTTACTTGGCCATGCCACCCTTGTCTAGCCTTCTTCCCTACTCGGCCACATACCACCCTTTTGTGTCCGCGATGATTTAACACTCTTTAAGTGACCCTTAGAGAAAAAATCGGCTGCCAGCAGACTATTCTCTATGCAGCCATGTAATATCCTCAGATCTCATGTCACTTATGAGCCCCACCTCATGGATAAGTCATTAATGACTGCAACTGTTAAATATTTTTTTATTAACATCAATGCAAATTATATTTACACATTTTACACAGTTTCATGGGTTAGCTTGTTTTACATGTTCAGTTTGAACTTCAGGCCAGGTGCGGCCTTGTGTGTGAAGTTTCCATACCACACTTGTGACTTGACATCTGTGAAGGTTCCTTGTCCTTCAAGTCTGTAAGAAAAAATTAATATTATTATAACATTATCAACAGTAACTGTTGAAAATATCCAACAGGAATCTACAGGTCAGTAGAGTTATCATCAGTAAAATTAACTCAATAACATGTAGCTTATAATTAGCAGTTTACAGACTGTTTCAGTTATCAAAGTATAAAGAGTTAGGTATACAATGTACACGTAGCTCTCAAAAGTACAACATCTTTACATTTAAAGGTCAGTACATTTATCACCAAAGGTACAAATCTTTGAAACTTAAAGGCCAGCACAGTTATCAAAAGTACAAAACTTTGAAGTTTACAGGCCAATACAGTTATCAAGATTTAAAGGGGTGCCAGGGGAAAAAACCCATAACTGATTTCCAATAATTAATTGCCTCAAAATGCCTTGAATTCCCTTGTGAAACATAAGGAGAGTTGACATTTCATCAACAGTCACTTAGGGTCTTATTCTATGCACCCCTTCATTTATAAAGTGGATTCAAACAAGTTTTTTTGAGTGTGCATGCAACGTAAGGCATCACAAATCATACCCAGTTGATTCAATTGCATCAACTCATCATGTTATTTTCAATTGATATTTTTTTACATGCAAAGTCATTGAATTTGCTCCATTAAATGTTACTATCATGTGCATTGGTTTTAGCCCTTACTTGTTCTCATTGAAGTTTCCTTCATAAAAAGATCCATCTGGCCAAGTGTACTTCCCATACCCATGGAACATGTTATCAACAAATTCTCCCTGTAATCAATACATCTGAGTCAGAATCCACAGTTCCAAAATACATGTACTTTTAACCAAGGTGAAAATAAATAAAATAAACAAATCATAAATTTATTCACAATACAGCCATGTCAGCCCTAGGTAGCTAGGTCAAAGTTGGAATTTGGAAATGTTGGCTTTTTGGAAGGGAAGAAAACTGGAGTGGTATCTCACTGAAGGAAAATCTATGGATCCATAGTTTAATACAAGAGTGTTTCTATAACTCACCAAAAACACAGAGTAAATGTTTTCTCTTTTTCTACAAAACATTGCAAGAAAAAGAAAGGAAAATCACTTCAATCAAAATGTAAATTCTCTTAAATTCTCAATTTCCATCATTACATCACCAGCTCATGCTTAGGAGTTCTGCATTTTTATTAAGTTAAAGTACAGCTCGTATTGCACACTTTCTTAGAGTGTATAATTCTTAAAACATTACACAATGCAAGTAATAGCATGTTACAGTGTATACCTCGTATAAAGCTCCCGACGGATGTAAAAGTTTCCCTATGGATGAAAAGAATGGACTGCATATTAATCTGGTCGGAAGGAACGGCAACCAAAAGCAAAAACCCTTATTTCAACATACAGCTCAAATACTAGCTTATGACTCAAATACAACTCCACACTATTTACACTGTTCGCTCGATCAAACAAGTCAATGAACAATTATGCTAATTAAAAAAATTCTCACAAAATGTTTCACAAATTATTAGTCAATGCCTTCTGAACAATTCCCTTCTCAACAGTATTATCAATGGTATGCTAAAAATTTTCAATATCATTTGGAATAATGCTTGCATTACAGCAGATGCCTCACCTTGCCCATTCATTTTATCACCACTCCAGTTTCCATAGTAGCTAAGTCCATCACAGGTTGTATGAATACCATAACCCTGACGTTGCAAGCCTTCTTCTGCTTGGATGTACTCACCATCTGAAAATTGAAATAATTTATTTTTACTATTTAAAACACTTCTAGAAACTTAACTAAATAATGTATTTTATTATATGGAGAAGAGTGTTTTACTGGGAACTAAACCACTCGTAGATTCCAAACGCCACTTCATCCGGGACCCGAGTGGCGTATTTTCCGTATGTCACCTTTGTGAGTGTCGTATCGTTCAATGACCTCACGATTCCCACCTTTTGCTTTTGTTGAATTGGTTTCTCCATATAATAAAAAGAACATTACACGTTGGCTCGAAGATATGAATTTTAAGTTCAAGTGGCAAGAACAAGATATTGTTCTTGCCACTTGAACATAAAATTCATATCTTCTTGCCACCGTGTAATATCCTCTATATATGTAGAAAATCTCAATTTTTCCCTGAGCTGTTTGTGAAGGGTATTGGAATACAACCATATAATACAAACACATTCCAGTAACCATAACTTTAACCACAACTTACCATACTTGTCTCCATTTGGAAACATGTAAACACCATTCAGGACTGTTGAGCCTAAAAGCAGCAAAAACATCCTTAAAATAAAGGGCAGTTGAAAAAAATAAACCATCAAAACATACATGTGCAAGCAATGGAATATCGGTTTAGCAACTTAATAACCCTAAATCAACCTGGGAGTTAGTTTAGTTCCTCTCCCTGGGTGGGTGGGGGATAGCACTAGTCAGACCCGGGTAGGAGGGTACTTTTAAGGATCTCACCAACTTTGAAGGCTTGTAACTTTAAAAATATATAGAATGAACCCCAAATATATTTTTCAACATCACAGATTTGCAGAAAAGATGGCACCATGTCATACAAAGACATCATTCATTTATTCATTCATTCATTCTGTTTATTTGCCTTTTCACCTAATAGGGTAATTATTTATAAATATTTCAATGTATGGCGAGGTGACCTCTAGAAACCACCTAGTCTGCGAACAGGCTCCCGGTTGGTTTTAGAGCGAGCTAGTCGAGTGTAGTCTGGGGCGAGAGGGACGAGCCGAGAGCAGTCTGGTGATAAGGGAGTGCACCTACGGTGTTATAGACCTCAAAGGAAATATTTTTGGTTGTGCTATAAATCCTCCATGTGACATTGTCCTAATGATGCAGGAGTTACAGGGAAAGAACCACAAAAAGCTGTATCCCACCCCCATACCACTAGTACTGCTGCCACCACCACCATCACAGGTGTCAGTAGATCAAAACAAGCCTTCAGGATTAAATAAGGTTTAAGGTACTGCATCATTTACACTTAAGCATTTAAACACATTCTGCCCAAGAAACATTTTAACTGCAGAAGTTACATCTTAGTGCTCTCTCACTTGCTCCTCGTCTCTCACCTCTTTCACTTGTTTCTGTCTAGATCTACCCTCTAAACAACCCACCCGAAGCTATCCAGGCAGGTCTCAAAGGGTGTGTGGCTTTGTTTTATTATAAAACTACACACCCTTTGAAACCCATTGAGACCCTGTTTTGGCAAGTAGAGCCTAACCTTCTGTAAGTCTTGGGCTTATAGTGTATAGGAGGTTTTATTGTACTATTTGCTTGCCCTTCGGTTCTGAACAGCTAACTTTCTAGGTTTCTGAATACCTAAGAGGGATGTCTGTTACAAATTTACAAAGTTACAAATTAGTGTTTGTACATGCCTACGTCCAGAACCCTGACCCTATCAGAGATGTCTGTCTATGAATATCATTTGGTACTAGGGGTATCATTAATGTTTTCAGCAGGAGGGAAACTGGTTTTCACAGGTGGGCAAAAACTGTCCTCACAGCCGGTCAATTTGCCGGGTGCCCGGTCGTTAATGGAACCCCTGTTTGATACAGTGAAACCACAATTTCATAACACTTCCAATGAAAATAATCAGGTCCACTACAACCCTTTACCAGAGTCTGCCCTGTTCTTCTCCAAGAACTCGAACCAAATTTCATCCCCTCTCCTCAGTCGAACACTGTAATTTTACCCCCGATTTCTCGAACACTCAGACTTTTCAAACCAATTTTTGTTTCCCTTGGAGGTTCGAAAAATCATGATTCCACTGTATATACATGTTGTACATCAAATCCTATCGTTAAATATAACCAGTACATATGTTGTGGTTTACTTTTACCGCGGTGGCCTCATGGTTAGTGCGCTTGTCCTGTTCAAGACCTGGCCGGGGACACTGTGTTGTGTTCTTGGGCAAGACACTTTCACAGTACCTCTCTCCACCAAGGAATATAAATGGGTATTGGCTAATTGTTGGGGAAAGCTGACAAATTGCAGGGGAGTGACCTGCGATGGACTAGCATCCCATCCAGGGGGAGTAGAAATACTCCTAGCCGCTTCATGCCACAGAATTCCTGAAACCGGGACAAGCTCCGGCAGCTACGTCCCAGTCGGCTCCAAGGCTTCATTTTAAATTCAGATTTCACTTACATATTGGTAATAAATTACCCATACAACAGAACATATGAGATATCCCAAATTATACCAAGGGTAAAACTGAACCACAGCACATATTTTAAAACAACAAGAAAGCTTGATAACACAGTGTTTAGAACTGTCCTTGTTGTGTGCATGAGTTTAAACTCATTTACACGCAACCAAACAATCACCAAACATGTGCATGTTTGTCTTTACCCGCATCAGCTTTTCCTCCTCTCTTTTCCTGCTTCTTAGTAGGAGCTAACAGATATGAAATACAACACTTAGAAAAAAATTAAGCTTAAACTAGCTAAATTTTGGAAGCAAAATTCGAACAAAACACTCCGCTACATCTTAAATGTAAGCTGATCACAATCTCCTTCTATACCTGGCATGATTTCAAGTCCCACAAATTTAAGGATAAAGGTTTATGAATTCGTATTTCCAGAAGATGTCACCCTCATGTTCAAACTCTCTCCAAACAATAATTTTGCTTCTTCGACTCCATAGCAATGGAACACCAATGCATTATGGGAGTTTTATAACCCGCATTTTGATTGGTTCATATTGTTCGAACTATTAGATTTTCTGATTGGTCAAATTAAGGTAAGGAGATTTTGGCCTTTTATGTTGCGTTCGAGAACCGGGCGCAAAATTCATAATGTTACAGTTGGAAAGGCAGTATTTCATGCCTTTTCGAATCCAGAAGTGAAAATGCAATTTGATGTAGCAAAATATGGTTCTAAAGGATTCAGCCCAGGTACCTAAGCAGGAAATTCAACCCTCGTCTCGGTCACAAGACCTGGGTGAGGACGATAACGCACTGAAAGATCAAGTGGCAAAGCCACTTTTTCCAGGAAGCAACCAACTGAAACACATTATCTCTGGAGGGATTGCTGGTGCAGTATCCAGAACATGCGTCTCACCGTTAGAAAGAGTGAAAATACTTCTGCAGGTTAGCTTGAAAATTCAGTGTCAGGTCGCTACGTTAACGTTAAAATGAGACGGTCTTTTCGATTTATTTCGTAGATTCAGGTCAGGAATCCAAAATTTTCAGGAGTTGGTGCAACTTTGATCAAGATAGGCAAAGAAGAAGGATTAAGAGGTTATTTCAAGGTAGACATTGATTTCGTTTGTTTTTGCTCGTTGGCTTCATGGTACGTAGGTGATCAGAGTCAGGGGCGACAGGAACTGGGGGGAATGGATGCCCATACATGACGGGTCACGATCAAGGGTCACCCCTACAATATTTGATATCTAACCCTAATCCTAACCTAACCTTTTTCTCTGCCTAACCCTAAGCTAACCCTTTATACTAAACTAAATATACAAAAATACTGATATGTTGCATAAGTCTTAATCTGCATGCCCTTGGAGTCCTCATCAATCACCAGGAGTGTAAGGGAGAGGGGCGGGGGGGGAGGAGTGGGGGTGCTAAATATCACATTACCGCAAAAGTACAAAAAAAGTCAGAAAACACTGAATGTCACAGCTACTGTAGATCCCATTTTGTGAAAATAAATTTATTTCTAACCTCACTGAAATAATAAAGAATATCAAACCAGTTACAGTTGAAGTAGACTGTTCACAGCAGCCCTCTATTATCTCATATTTTTATTGAATCGTTGAACATATGGATAGACTCGCGAGAGAACTGAACACTGCGTGAAATGGGAGACTTGACAGGGTAGGAAGAGGAGACCAAGAAGAATATAGGCTGGGGCTATAGACATCTTTGGAAAAAAGTGAATTCCCTGTTTCTCCAGAAATGGAAAATTCCCATTGGTTGAAAGGCAACTTGTAAAAGTGCCGTCAACTTGACATCGGCCGATCATGATTGTATCCAGGCACGTTTGGCAGCTCACAGCAGTTGTCATCTTTGAAGCAGTGTTAAACTGAAGTAGTGTTCTTGAAACTTGGCACCAGAAATGTACATCACAAAAGAAACCAAATGACACCCATAGTGTCGTTGCCAAGGAAACTCTCTTGGTTCCAATCTCTTTCTGTCAAAAACCAAACATCCTCATTTTCAACCCCTTAAAGTGGGACAGAGGGTCCTGCTTGGAACAGACATTGTCTTAACTCTCATCATTAGATTGGCTGGGGTAGATGGTTCTTGGTTAAGACAAAAACTGGGAATTTCAGTTTTAATTAAGACAGGACCAGCAGCAAAACTGTTATCATGGCAACAACACATAGGGTGTCATTTTGTTTCTTTTGTGATGAACATTTCTGGTGCCAAGTTTGAAGAACGCTGCTCATAAATATTTCCAGAGATATTTTACCACTTTAGTTTCAAACCTCATACCGTCATCACTTTCCTAATTTACGTAATGCAAAAGACGTCATTATCTCTAAAACAAAAAAAGATATTCCAAAAAGGAAAACGCCATTCTTCTGAAAAGACTTTCAAATAAGAGGCAATCATTTTTCATTTCATAGGCACTTTAAACAAGCAATTTACCACTCAAATTTAATTGGTCCAATATATTTAATTAGTCAAGAGGCAGAGCTGTTAACAATAAATATACTTTTTCTCAAAGATCTCTACAGTGTCTCTTTTCTTCATTTGGCTTGCTTCGCTCACCTTCCTGCCTCCACCCCCACCTGCTTCCCGCTCACTTAGTTAGGCTTGTTCTTTCTCATGGGTTAAAAAATAGAGACGCTATGAACAGTCTTCAGTTGAAGCTGTCTAATAGCTAGGGGCCGCACCAAAAGGACAAAGCTTAGTATCATTATTACAGAGGTGTGTATTTATTTTGAATTTGTACTTTGCACTGTCATGCCATAAAAAATAATAATTAAGTACATGTAACCATTCAATATTTAGATAAAGTCAAGAATCTGGGATATACCTGTATATACATGATAAATGATTGTTATACAGTCATGTCAAGGTTTAGGTCTGACTGTTTTTTTGAGGGGGGGAAGGGGAGGGAAATATCACCAGAATTTATAGAGCTTTCTTGTGAGATGCCATGTTGATGTCACTCAGAGCAACATCAACAATCATGATAGTAGTCTTATAGTAATAAAAATCTATCATTACTTCAGGATTGCTGTAACTAGATTAATAATAAGATTATTATTAGGTGGGTTCATACTAGCTTAGTAAGTAGACCTTAAGTACACAAAGACCTCAAGTATACTTGAGATCACATATGTTCACTTACCTTGATAAGCGTTCATATTTAAAATTCTAAGTACACTTCAAGTGACAGAGCCGTCAATNAAAAAAAACTCATTGCGATGACCAAAAGGTGGCCAGTTAGTAGGGGTTTATTTGCAGTATTTTAATCTCAGTACTGACGGATAACCGGCCACTTAAAAATATTAAGGGGTGGCCACCAAAATGACAGAGTTACATCCAGTAAACCTACATTTTTTCCCAAATAGTGAACCAAAACCTCATCCTCCTACCAAAGACACTTTTTTAAGAGTGTCCACTTCCCTCAAGTGACTAAAAGACCAACAAAGCGAGAATACAAGAATAAAAAAACGTTTTTTTAACGTTACTTTAGATTCCCTCAAAAGGAGAGAAGGAGAACTTCTCTGCTCTTGACTGAGTAAAACATAAGTTCAAAGGAAGTGCTTTCGAAAGCCATTTATATCTGACATCAAAATGAACGCAGTTCTTCACATGAAACAACAAAAATGAACACCATTACTAATAAATACCTCTGTCGTAAGACCCCGGACTGGAGTTATACTGTAGAATTCAAGTGTGCAATTCTGATTGGGGACAAAAAAGAGAAAAAAACGTGGAAGGAGAGCAAGGAGAGCAAGTTGTTTATTTTAGAATAGTAAGCTTTAAAGCTACAAATAAAACAGCACTCACAGCATTATGATCAGAAATACTGCCTTTTTTTAGGGAATTGCCCCATACATTGGCTTGAATTTTGCAGTGTATGAAACATTGAAAGGTATTGTATGCGTATTTCGTAATTTTTTAAGGTCTCCAGGAATGTATGTGTTGTAACTGCGTTTGTCACTGAAATCGAAACAACTGCCATTGATGCCGCCAAAAGTGGCTGTTCACAAAAATAAGACAAAAGTGTGATATTACAGACTTTTACTCCAGCTTACTCATTTGTGTTGCATAATTTTATGTTTTGCCTGAAAACAAACTAAGGTATCATGTTTCAAATGTTTGCAAGAAAATTTAGAAAAGTGTAACTATCAAGTTTGGTGTGTCAATGTCTTGATGCAAAGAAATGGCACAGATAAGGTAAAACATGCTAGGTAACTGACAACTCCTTTGACTGGTTCATCACACTCTGCAATAATTTCCTTTCAGTCTCTGATTAATGTGTATTTTTGCTCAGATTTTGTCCTCGGGCATTTCATTGTGAGGGCTCGGGAAGCTGAGTTAAAGAGGATGGATAAGGATAAGGAGCTACCAGTTGTTGTCCGTCTTTTCTGTGGAGGATTGGCTGGTGGTATTTCTCAAACTGGTAAGTCAGGTTTTCCTCAAACTGGTTATTCAAGTATTTGTCAGACTGCTAAGTGGAGTCTGTTTTTTTTAACTGGTAAGTAAGTTAACTCACTAACTAGTATGTCAGGTTCTCCTCAAACTGGTAATTTGGATTTTTTTTTTTTTGGATTCGGTTAGTCGGGTATTTCTCAGACTGCTAGGTCGAGTACTTCTCAAGCTAGTAAGTCAGCTGAAAAGCTGAGAAGTCGAGGGTTTTCGAACTAGATAGTAAACTGGTAAATCAGGTATTTCTCGTTAGATGAATGTTTGAAGTCAATAAAAAGAATTTCTGCGTAAATGGACTTTTCTAAATATCCTAAGCATCGAAATTTTTTGAAACTCCGAAAAACACTCGTACCCACTGAAAAACGCTGGTACAACCTAATAGATTTGACGAGCAGTGGAACCTTTGCTAACTAACCCATTGTTAGGGGGTCACTTTGTATTACCGGACCCTTGGTTGTGGTTTCAATCGCACACTAACACCACATTTTTAAGCTCCCATAAGCAGCCTCTGTGGACGCGTTTTTCTGGTCCCGAGGGTGTCCGCTAGGGAGATCTACTGGACTGTTGTAGGTCAGTCTTATAGACCATTAGTGGACTCGAACTAGCTTGCAAGTGAGGCTAATGCGGGGAGTCTGTTCAAATGCAAATGGCATTTATCTCCTTTCAATGATATTACCCCGCATGAGCCTCTATTGCAAGCTAGTTCCAGTCCAATACCGAGCCGGAATACGAGTATGGCCTGTTCAGCACGGCTGCGATTTGTTTTGCTTTTCAGTAACCTATCCATTAGACGTGGTTCGGCGACGCATGCAGATGAAGGGCATCAGTGGAGATTTGTTTGCATATACATCCACCAGACATGCATTCTCTATGATTGTGCAAGTAGAAGGCATCAAGGGGTTATATAAAGGAATGTGGCCAAATTTGCTCAAGGTAACCACAACAGCGTAATCAATATTCTAATGGTGAAAAATTCATCACGGTGCTTTACGGGCAAGGTAGTTAAGCAACACGCGCAGACGCAGTAAGGTGTTGATAATACTTACGTTTCAGAAAAATTAGAAAGATTTCCTAACAAAAGGCGCTACCTAGCAACAGCTTACTTCTCCTGCATATGTTTCTTATGTTCTCCCGATCCAGAAAACTAGCCTTTGTATGTGATCAGTAACATGTTATCACAATAAGTGAATAAAGATGGTAAATTTTAAGCTCGGTAATATAATATATGAAAAGTGAACTGATCAACATGACACGAGCGTGAGACAAGGGAAAACTCTGAGTCCCCGACAGGAATCGAACCCATGACCTCCCGAAAACCGGACGGGCGCTCTATCTACAGAGCTATCCACTGAGCTACGAGAACTGATGGAGAGCAAGGTCATTTAACTGAGTTCATATATCACAAGTTTATATCACAAATTTCGGGATACGAAAATGACCGTCATATTCTGTCGCAATTCACTTTGAATGCAAGCTTACTCGAGACTGTACTGGGAGAGTATTAGCCCTCGGTCTGTTTTGTACCGACCGAGCAGGCGTAGACCGGTATTTTTCAAGTACGGCCTCAACGCTTGGTTGATAAGGTATATTTACGTCATGTTACCTAAGCCAGAGTCATACCGCACTATCACCCATGAATCATCGGCTTTCTGCATTCCTTGGGATTGTAACTCACTTTACCTAAACATACATGTCAAAAACGTTTTAGTTTATATTTAGAAGGAACGTTATGCCTCGGAAATTTAAGTTACATACAAATTGCGCTTGAAGCATATACTGATAACAACGATGTGAAGCAGAATACGGTCATGAAATGAATTTCACATCTCTCTGAACCTACTCTTATTAACGACATGAATACAAAACAAGCTCTGGAAATGAAGACTTATAATGCGAAGAAGTTTTTTTTAGGGGCTTATTTCGGAAGGGGGAGGGGGCTCACGTTTTCGGGAGAAGGGAACATGATCGGAATTATCGGTTTGTTGCTGTTCTAATATGTTTACAAGATATTATTAAAGTTGGTTTGTTCCTCCTGCAGGTCGCGCCCCTTGTTGGAATTCAGTTTGTAACTTATGAGATCACTAAAGCCTTCTTGTATGGCCAAGGACTTCAACTGCCTTGGAGATGATGGCAGCTTTATCGAGGCTCATACGTGGACATCAGTGTGGCACATTCCCTGTGAATGCAGTGGCCACTCATCACCCTCCTACCCTCCCCTCAGAAACCCCATGCAAGCTACACACCCCCCCCCCAGAAACTCCATACCAGCGTGGAGCGATGACAGACGGCTGTGTGTGGATGCTATTATAGTAAGTTTAATACAAAAACTGAGTTTAACCTTAGCTTCAAGAATTTGCCGACTGAAACAAATCAGTTTATATTTCCTAATTCCAATTGCTTATTAATGGTTAAACGATTAAATAAAACGGAGTACATTATTTAAACCGTGTACAGGACGGAAGGAGTTGGAGAACAAGTCACAATTCTCTGTAGAAAAAAAACCTTCACTCCATGTTGTTATCGTTAGCAGCTAGTTCCTTTCAAACACTTGCAATTTCTCTATACCTCTATGCCAATGCAGTTGAACTGTTTTATTTATATATATCGAATGACGCAAACCAGTGTTTTCCGCAAGCTTTCTTCCATTTATATCGAATTGATAGCACTTTTTCTAAAACACTTTTATCCAAAATTCATACAATGAATGATAAATAACGTTTGCTCTCTTAATGAATAATCGTGTGTTGTGTTGTTTAATAAATAAAAGAGGGGAAAAAACAGAACAATAATATCATGATATGTGGAACATGACGGTGACATAATGTGTTAGAGTAAAAACCCGCGTGTGAGAACGTACATTTTTTGACGTCTGGCAAAATAAGTTGTATTTTGGGGCACTTATTGGCAATTGAAGCTAAGTAGGTTCTTTTTAGGTTCTCAATTTCTACGAAGGAGATAGAGTGGTTGATTACAAGAAAAATAAATAAACCTGGGTTTGGTCAGTATTTATTCACAACTATATTATGCGAAGCCTGACACAACTGATTTCAGAATGTATATTAGCCTGCGTAGCAGTCTTTTCCGTTTCCTTTCAAGCAAGCGGGAGTCGTGCGAGGGCACGGGGACAGAGGTAACAAAAAAATGAACTAACTTTGCTCTCGCCCCATGCGTTCGCGCGACTTCCCCTTGGCTCTCGCTTTCTCCCACTTAGAGGAAACGGAAAAGACTGCTACGCAGGCTAAATGTAGTGTTGCTTCTATAACGACAGTTCATAATTTAACTGCAACCCGCATATTAGAACCTGCTTGATCTGGCTTGGCTAAACAAGTCCTTATATTTTTGGGTTCTAAAATAGAAAATGTCTGCCAGCAGGTTCTTAAACCACTAGGTTCTTACATGCGGGTTTTTTACTGTATCGGCTACAGTCAACTCTCGTTATAGCGGACACACTCGTAGACTGCGTGCAGTCTCTCTCTTTCCTGGAAAATCCATGAGGAACAACGCAAAACAAGTAAGCGTGCGAGCGTGACTGTGAGCGTGACGTGCGAGTAGTAGCGATTAGTAGCGCGGGCGTCGCGCTCATAGTCACGCTCGCACGCTTAATTGTTTTGCGTTCTTCCCCATGGATTTTCGAGGAAAAGAGAGACTCTTCGCAGTCTAACACCCTCGGGATCGTCATGTAGTGTCCGTAATAGCAAGACGACCTTTATTTTTGTTGTGAAGTGTGACATAGTTCCTTTTAATTTGTTGTATTCATTTACTTTGACACATTCATACAATATGGGTCTAAATAGTGTACGAAATAGCGAGAGCTAGATAATTGAACTTGTATTTGCAAAGATCTACCCTACTCTTTTCCATTAAGCTAATCATGAGCACATACTTTTCATTCGACGTTTTCTGTGAGCCAGATCACACAACATGACGAGTTGCTTGCAGGGCGCGCGCGCGGTTTCTTGCACATTGAAGGGGGCTGCTCTCACCGGTTTACACAACGACCTTCACCCCACTCCTCCTCTCNCCCCCCCCCCAAAAAAAAAGAATCACGTGGATCACAGGCATGCCTTTGCTAATGACTTTTAAGCACTAGATACTTCTTACTATTTTTGCTTCACTCTTCGTCCTTCACGACTTCGTTTTTCTGCTCAACTTTCTTTTCCTCTCCTTCCCTTTTTTACGGACTCCAAAAGGCTATTTATGCAAACACAAAGTGTAACAGAAGAGCAAAAGAAAAGAAAAAAAGTAAAGTCTATAGACTAGCAATCTTAAAGCGGCTTTAAGATCTACGTTTTTTAAGTCACAATGCTACTAATTTACAACAGTGATCAGTAACTAAAAAGATAAGTATTCTACAGAATTTTTTAAGTGATGAATAACAGTTTACAAGGTTAAAGGTTAAAAAAATACGTCCTACGGAGTAAAATAAGGCGTCGAAAACAAAAGGCGTTTTGGAACAATTTTGATGCCTTGATACCAAAGCCGTAATAACCCTCTGACGGATATAAACAGGTGATATGTGAGTCCGAACCTGTGGTATGACAAGATAACCGTGTGGCATTGATTCATACCGGCTCATGTGTTAAGTGCACGTGATTTCCTACTAATGGGAAAGAGCGGTTCTCTCCAAACCATCTTTTACCGAGCTTGTACGGAGAAAGAATTCCACAGCCACCTCTCAAGGTCCTTTCGTCAGCATCTCCTCTCGGATACCCCAAATGGCTTTAGGATTGGTTTTTCAGACGTTGCGCATCGCACGGTTACAGTCTACCTGATCACAGAGTGAATTCAGCCCTCCAGAACCCACAGATCGTCGACAAATATCGGTCTCGCGAAGCCCGACTTGGCATGGAAGCTGGTCCTTTCACCTCGTGTTCTCCAACATCCCTACAGCTACACGGTGAGTCAGGCATTCTATTGAAATCATTATGCGTTAAGAAAGACTGCCGGACTCACCTCGTTACAATGATATGGATATCCAAGCTTACCGCTCGATTCCAGTTCACCGATGACCGTCTCATTTACATGTAAAACATGGTTGGTAATGCGCAGTTCTTCGTTGACTTGGCCCTTAGGTTCAGCCTGCATTCCGCTCCCTTTATCTTCAGTCAGTTCTCTCCCAAGGTTGGCACTGGATTCTATATCAGCCCCCCCCCCCCCCCCCCCCCCCTTGTACTGATATGCCATCGAAAAATACATTTGATTGACATTCAATTTCCTGAAATTGTTTTGATAGTGCGTAAGTGCGCCAGTAAGGATGGTTGAAAAATACTTGAAAGTGCACTTTGGCTCTTTTGAAAAAGATGCGTTGCCACGACTACAAAGTAGGCTACTTACGTTGAAATTGGACCCGTTCACATCTGAAGTAAGATTCAAGTATACTAAAGGTCTACTTACTAAGCTAGTATGAACCCACCTATTGATCCTTATTTCATATTTTGTTTAATGCAAAGACTGTTCCAATAGCAAAACTTAAAAGATAAGACTCTTTTGACCTACTGTAGATGACGGCTTCATCAGGCTGCTATTTTAATGCCACACCATGCGAAAGCAAGCTTAGAAATTTAAACATGATCTACTACAAAACAAAGAACCCTGTTGAGTTAAAACTTGTAAGATGTGATGTTCTTAGAAGCTCTCTTATCATGAAACTAAATATTCTGAGTTTAAAGTGCACCCATAACCCCCAATTCTTTTTTTGCTAAAACCAATCTACTTCAAAATATGTCTGCGAAAAAAAATATTAGATTCAGTTAAATCTTCGATTTTCTTTGCCCTGGCGAGATCTGGAAAATAGCACCAAAATGCCGTCATTTTGTTTGCGCGACCAAGTTTGAGGAGAATGGGTCCAGCGGCTATTGTGATGTCTACCCAGGAAGGTTTAATATCTCATGTCCTCTCATTTCCTTCAGGAGGGTGCAATACACATTAAAATAGTGCACAGAAATGCCTTCCAGAAGTACTATCAGCTCTTGCAGCAATTTCCCAGATTTAAAGAAAGATATACTGTACAATTTACAAGCGATGATCGGTCAATGGTACAATAAAGACGTAAACGGTGGTTGATTTTGTGGAACCAAAGCAAGCGAAGTGAGTCTGTGAGATCCATTGAAGAGCTCTCACTGGAATTTGTTCTGCAGACTTTCAAATGCTATTTTCAAAATTTTCTGCTTAAAGGCAACCAAAAATTTGTAGAAATACTACTGACAACCTATATCTTCCAATCCTGCAGTATTTATAACATAGCCGGCAAAGTTACATGTATGACCAACATATACTGATATGTAAAATTAATAGGTTGCAGCTGTACACTGCCAACCAACACTTATTATTTCTCTTTCAATTTAGATAATACTGTAGTCGAAGATTAATCCTTTAGAATTACGTGATAACAAAATTGTTAGACTCACAGAGTTTTTCGAAGGTTTGGAAATCAGCAGTGCGACAAACATCCTGTGCAATACTGTATAGTGTCGAAAATGTGGCTGCATAACATTATATTATCTGCAGACTGCTTAGGGAACACATCCTTTTTGCTTATCTGATGAATTTCACGGCACACTTTGAGAAAAATGTACATTTGTTATTTGGAGTTATGACTTAAAATGTGTGACAATGTGAAATTGGTAATTGTATGAAATGTTTCCTTGGTTCTGGCTTCAAGATACAGGTCCAAATATTTCTATGATTTTCAATCGATCAAAGCCAGTGTTTTGGTTGAGCTCTCTATAATCACAGTCAAAGTATGGGCCAGGCCAATTCTTAAATAGAACTGAGTCAAAACAAGCTTTCTACCCACCGAGTTGACAGACTAAATGTTAAATAGAAGCTCGGTTTTGCAAAAGGATCAACTTTTAGAACAAAGAGCCACTCAAAGAAGACGCGACAAGAGTACCTACACGCGGAGGTCATTAAGTCTTGAAAACTGCAACACTTACGTTTCTCTTATAAACGTAAAGCATTCCAGAAAGTAAAACACAAACTGGATTTAATAGAACAAATATACCTTGACAAACTACATTCTTGCTTAAGGACAAAATAATGTAAATGGGCCATGAGCACCGCGCATGGGAATATTGTGGTTACGTGCCAAAATTACACAGTTGTCGAACATGCTCGATCAAAGTGTATTTCGGAGTCTTCCGAATCGAAACTTAACTCTAACTCCAGTGACAAAAAAGAAAAAAAACTTGGACGTTTTAGTCCCAAAAATAAATTTGGAACAACTAGTTTTGTTTTCCATTTTCTCGAGAAAATACAGAGAGCTGACTGAGGTGCTACTGTGTTTGGTTCCTGAGTAGACATCATCAGCAACTGCTGCCTCAGACTCCGTAAACGTGGTCGCACAACAATTCAAGCGTGACTCTGAAAGGGTATAGAAAGTCGAGGATTCAAGCAAATTCAAAAATTTTTTCACCCAAATGCTTCAAATAACAAGTGGATTCGTTTTAGCGCAAAAAAAATTTTGGGAGTTAGGTGAACTAACATTTAATAGTATTTAAACATCACAAATTCTCCTGCTGCATCACGCTATCTTCAGTCTACCAATGTCTGCCTTTAGCATCCAGGTGCATGTACTCTGTGTCAGTCCTTGCCAGCTTGAGCAATGTCTAGATATATATTAAAAATGTGGTTTTATTCAAAAATGTCATTACAATAATTTTATTGAGACTTTACTCTACAGAGATCCATGTAGACTAGATACATGTCTGCAGGGGTTTCTTTAAGGGCTGGGCACCGGGCAAACTGACTGTCTGTGAAGATGATTTTGCTTGCCTGGTTTGACCATCTAGAAGAAAGTTTTTCAGTAAAGTCTAACAGTGAATTTAGTTCAAAAAGTTCTGGCTGCCTGTCCTGCTGAAAATGTTAATGTAACCCTTGTGTCTGGCTGGTTGTTGTTCAGTTTTGAATATTTTCACGTGCAAGTAACATCATAACAATTATTTAGAAGTTATCTTCTAAGGAAAGCTACATGCTTTATCAGTAAATGGAATTTGTCAGGTCGAAGATCGAGCATGTGAAGAGAAAAAATAGTACATTTTTACATGTTGATAACTCAGACGTAGTCTTCAATGAATTTATACACATGTGTATGTAAATTTATATTTCAATCAATCTCTTTTCCTGTAGGGGAATGGTACAAACGTACTGAGAATAATTCCATACTCTGCAGTACAGTTTGCTGCTTATGAAGAGTTCAAGAAGGTATGAAATTCTCTTTGTCTATCAATTCTTTCTTGGGTGGAGTGCTCCCTTTTATTTCTAATCAGGAGTGACGCCGAAAAATTGTGCCAAAATTTTAGTTACATAATATGTTTGATTTCTACCAAATTTTAAGAAGCGTTACTACTGTTTTAGCCAATCACCTGCTGAGTTTTAGACAGGAACTGGTGACATATTCAGGAAAATTTGACTGTACTTTTCAAAAAGCATCTGCTGCAAAGAAAATGTATCCTATTTACACTAACTTGATTGAGCCAAATCGTTTTGCGATTACCAACCAAAAAAATGTATCACGAAGGGAAGTCTAGCAACAAAGAGAGTGTACTTGACAGAGAACTTGAAAATGAAAGCATCATCAGTGGAAGTCAGAGGTGAGTTTTGCTAAATGATCCAGCTCAAAGGTTAATACACAAGTGAACTTATTTGTACATCTGGCTTTATTTAATTAGTTCTCTTATTTTTAGCTCCTAAAGATCTCAGAAGATCTTCAGACTCAGACTCCAGTGAGAAGGCTTGTGGCTGGAGGATTAGCTGGAACAACATCTGTCATTGCTACATATCCACTTGATCTTGTGAGGTAAGTTAAATATCATAATGAAGTGAAGTGCTCATTACAGCACAATTACTTGTCGACTGTTTCCCTTGTTGCCTTTGTGGTATGGCAGCTAAATTGGGTCAATGGCCTCTGTGGTGTTGTCGATGGACCAATTTCGATAAATTAAAATTCAAAATGCAATAGACCTCAGCACGATGCTCTAGGGAATAAACACGTCTGCAGTTATTCCTCAGCGCCTCGCGCTTAGGTTTATTGTTTTAGGCTGAATTTTAATATATCAAAATTGGTCAATTTTTTTGTCAATGAAACCTTAAATTAAGCAAACTCATAATAAGTTGGAAAGTTTATTACCTACAGACTGAGTATTTTTAGTTTAGGAATTCTTTATTAATAAATATGCCAAAAGAAACATGCTCAGTATCGTATGTCTGGACTTACAATTTCATGTACAACTAACTGCTATAAAAAAACTAATTAGTAACAAACTATTTACAAATGTATTGATATTAATGAAGCCACACTGGAGTTTGGTAAATTGCAGGTTAGGGGTTAAGTGATTTTTTTTTTTTTTTTTCATCGTAGTGGTGGTCCATCAGTGATATAAGTTATAACTTGGTTCCACAATGACTTAGAGAATTATATTATTTTCAAATTTAATTCGCCAGTGTGCCAGATAGCTTGGGACTAGTGGATTTTGCAGTGTAGTGGATTCTGTATGTAAATGTTACTTACCAGTGGGCAAGTGTCTAGATTTTGGGAGAAAATGTCTTATTAGAATGAAATAATCAATCATCCTACTGAGAAATGTTGGGGGAATACTGAGAATGATTGCATATTTACTTTCACTGATTGATAATTTTGTAGGACAAGATTAGCAGCCCAAGGTAATGGGGCAGAAAGAAGATACAGGTTTGATCACAAATATGTACTTTGAAGTTTGAATTTGAAATTAACGGATTTTACAAACACCTTAAGTTATAACAAATTATTTATCCAACAGACTGATGTGATATTAGAAGATCCCAATTTATATTTAATTAAAAGTTTGGGCCCAGAGTGACCAAAGTGCAGTACATATCCTTTAGCCAGTGAACTTAGAATCAAAATGAATTATGAAACGGTCTTGTGGCAATTCCTGGACAACTCATCACTGTTTTAACTGTTTTAATTATTATTAAGATATCAAATTGTTAATTATTGCCAGTAGGTAAAGGTAAAGCTAAGTGGCCCATCAGGCTGGAGCTTATCCCAGTGGCTGTAACATGTAGCAGCTAGCAGTATTTCTACTCCCCCCTGGATAGAATGCCAGTCCATCGCAGGGTTACCTCTAGCATTAAGTTCACTGGTGCCCATATATACACCTGAGTGGAGAGAGGCACTGTGGGAGTGCAGTGTCTTGCTCAAGAACACAACACAGTGTCCCTGGCCAGAGCTCAAACCTGCACTGCTCATTCAGGAGACACTTTTTTCTTGAGCTTTACATAGGCCTTCTGGTCATAAGATGCTAGAGTTGACACAAATGATTAATAGATAAATAATATAAAATAGTTATAAATATGTAACATTGTCTGATTTCACAGAAATATTTCCCATGCTTTCCAAACAATTTTGAAAGATGAAGGAGGGCTTTTCAGTGGTTGTCTTTACAAAGGACTGCCGCCCACTGTAATGGTATGTTTAACTACAGTTGTTGAACCCTTATTAAGCTGTCATCCTTGGCAAAGTGTGAGGTTGCTGCTTAAAAGGGGTTGGTCTCTTTAGAGGGGTTCATCTGGTATTGCCACGAGACTTAATAACAATGTCAATTTATTCAAATACAGACGTGCTTGAAGGCTTGTGGTTGTTGCACATAATAAAGTCTAATGGACATGGAATCACGTCAAAACAATCATGATAATAAAAATTTGTGTTCGACAGTTTTCGTCAGTTGTCAATTTCAATTTCAGACTCGTCACCTTTTCCAAAACAAAGACAAACTACCTGTATTATAGTTTGGGTGCCTCTTTATAGGGGTAAGGAGAAAAAAAAACTCATTGCGATGACCAAAAGGTGGCCAGTTAGTAGGGGTTTATTTGCAGTATTTTAATCTCAGTACTGACGGATAACCGGCCACTTAAAAATATTAAGGGGTGGCCACCAAAATGACAGAGTTACATCCAGTAAACCTACATTTTTTCCCAAATAGTGAACCAAAACCTCATCCTCCTACCAAAGACACTTTTTTAAGAGTGTCCACTTCCCTCAAGTGACTAAAAGACCAACAAAGCGAGAATACAAGAATAAAAAAACGTTTTTTTAACGTTACTTTAGATTCCCTCAAAAGGAGAGAAGGAGAACTTCTCTGCTCTTGACTGAGTAAAACATAAGTTCAAAGGAAGTGCTTTCGAAAGCCATTTATATCTGACATCAAAATGAACGCAGTTCTTCACATGAAACAACAAAAATGAACACCATTACTAATAAATACCTCTGTCGTAAGACCCCGGACTGGAGTTATACTGTAGAATTCAAGTGTGCAATTCTGATTGGGGACAAAAAAGAGAAAAAAACGTGGAAGGAGAGCAAGNGCGTTGCCACGACTACAAAGTAGGCTACTTACGTTGAAATTGGACCCGTTCACATCTGAAGTAAGATTCAAGTATACTAAAGGTCTACTTACTAAGCTAGTATGAACCCACCTATTGATCCTTATTTCATATTTTGTTTAATGCAAAGACTGTTCCAATAGCAAAACTTAAAAGATAAGACTCTTTTGACCTACTGTAGATGACGGCTTCATCAGGCTGCTATTTTAATGCCACACCATGCGAAAGCAAGCTTAGAAATTTAAACATGATCTACTACAAAACAAAGAACCCTGTTGAGTTAAAACTTGTAAGATGTGATGTTCTTAGAAGCTCTCTTATCATGAAACTAAATATTCTGAGTTTAAAGTGCACCCATAACCCCCAATTCTTTTTTTGCTAAAACCAATCTACTTCAAAATATGTCTGCGAAAAAAAATATTAGATTCAGTTAAATCTTCGATTTTCTTTGCCCTGGCGAGATCTGGAAAATAGCACCAAAATGCCGTCATTTTGTTTGCGCGACCAAGTTTGAGGAGAATGGGTCCAGCGGCTATTGTGATGTCTACCCAGGAAGGTTTAATATCTCATGTCCTCTCATTTCCTTCAGGAGGGTGCAATACACATTAAAATAGTGCACAGAAATGCCTTCCAGAAGTACTATCAGCTCTTGCAGCAATTTCCCAGATTTAAAGAAAGATATACTGTACAATTTACAAGCGATGATCGGTCAATGGTACAATAAAGACGTAAACGGTGGTTGATTTTGTGGAACCAAAGCAAGCGAAGTGAGTCTGTGAGATCCATTGAAGAGCTCTCACTGGAATTTGTTCTGCAGACTTTCAAATGCTATTTTCAAAATTTTCTGCTTAAAGGCAACCAAAAATTTGTAGAAATACTACTGACAACCTATATCTTCCAATCCTGCAGTATTTATAACATAGCCGGCAAAGTTACATGTATGACCAACATATACTGATATGTAAAATTAATAGGTTGCAGCTGTACACTGCCAACCAACACTTATTATTTCTCTTTCAATTTAGATAATACTGTAGTCGAAGATTAATCCTTTAGAATTACGTGATAACAAAATTGTTAGACTCACAGAGTTTTTCGAAGGTTTGGAAATCAGCAGTGCGACAAACATCCTGTGCAATACTGTATAGTGTCGAAAATGTGGCTGCATAACATTATATTATCTGCAGACTGCTTAGGGAACACATCCTTTTTGCTTATCTGATGAATTTCACGGCACACTTTGAGAAAAATGTACATTTGTTATTTGGAGTTATGACTTAAAATGTGTGACAATGTGAAATTGGTAATTGTATGAAATGTTTCCTTGGTTCTGGCTTCAAGATACAGGTCCAAATATTTCTATGATTTTCAATCGATCAAAGCCAGTGTTTTGGTTGAGCTCTCTATAATCACAGTCAAAGTATGGGCCAGGCCAATTCTTAAATAGAACTGAGTCAAAACAAGCTTTCTACCCACCGAGTTGACAGACTAAATGTTAAATAGAAGCTCGGTTTTGCAAAAGGATCAACTTTTAGAACAAAGAGCCACTCAAAGAAGACGCGACAAGAGTACCTACACGCGGAGGTCATTAAGTCTTGAAAACTGCAACACTTACGTTTCTCTTATAAACGTAAAGCATTCCAGAAAGTAAAACACAAACTGGATTTAATAGAACAAATATACCTTGACAAACTACATTCTTGCTTAAGGACAAAATAATGTAAATGGGCCATGAGCACCGCGCATGGGAATATTGTGGTTACGTGCCAAAATTACACAGTTGTCGAACATGCTCGATCAAAGTGTATTTCGGAGTCTTCCGAATCGAAACTTAACTCTAACTCCAGTGACAAAAAAGAAAAAAAACTTGGACGTTTTAGTCCCAAAAATAAATTTGGAACAACTAGTTTTGTTTTCCATTTTCTCGAGAAAATACAGAGAGCTGACTGAGGTGCTACTGTGTTTGGTTCCTGAGTAGACATCATCAGCAACTGCTGCCTCAGACTCCGTAAACGTGGTCGCACAACAATTCAAGCGTGACTCTGAAAGGGTATAGAAAGTCGAGGATTCAAGCAAATTCAAAAATTTTTTCACCCAAATGCTTCAAATAACAAGTGGATTCGTTTTAGCGCAAAAAAAATTTTGGGAGTTAGGTGAACTAACATTTAATAGTATTTAAACATCACAAATTCTCCTGCTGCATCACGCTATCTTCAGTCTACCAATGTCTGCCTTTAGCATCCAGGTGCATGTACTCTGTGTCAGTCCTTGCCAGCTTGAGCAATGTCTAGATATATATTAAAAATGTGGTTTTATTCAAAAATGTCATTACAATAATTTTATTGAGACTTTACTCTACAGAGATCCATGTAGACTAGATACATGTCTGCAGGGGTTTCTTTAAGGGCTGGGCACCGGGCAAACTGACTGTCTGTGAAGATGATTTTGCTTGCCTGGTTTGACCATCTAGAAGAAAGTTTTTCAGTAAAGTCTAACAGTGAATTTAGTTCAAAAAGTTCTGGCTGCCTGTCCTGCTGAAAATGTTAATGTAACCCTTGTGTCTGGCTGGTTGTTGTTCAGTTTTGAATATTTTCACGTGCAAGTAACATCATAACAATTATTTAGAAGTTATCTTCTAAGGAAAGCTACATGCTTTATCAGTAAATGGAATTTGTCAGGTCGAAGATCGAGCATGTGAAGAGAAAAAATAGTACATTTTTACATGTTGATAACTCAGACGTAGTCTTCAATGAATTTATACACATGTGTATGTAAATTTATATTTCAATCAATCTCTTTTCCTGTAGGGGAATGGTACAAACGTACTGAGAATAATTCCATACTCTGCAGTACAGTTTGCTGCTTATGAAGAGTTCAAGAAGGTATGAAATTCTCTTTGTCTATCAATTCTTTCTTGGGTGGAGTGCTCCCTTTTATTTCTAATCAGGAGTGACGCCGAAAAATTGTGCCAAAATTTTAGTTACATAATATGTTTGATTTCTACCAAATTTTAAGAAGCGTTACTACTGTTTTAGCCAATCACCTGCTGAGTTTTAGACAGGAACTGGTGACATATTCAGGAAAATTTGACTGTACTTTTCAAAAAGCATCTGCTGCAAAGAAAATGTATCCTATTTACACTAACTTGATTGAGCCAAATCGTTTTGCGATTACCAACCAAAAAAATGTATCACGAAGGGAAGTCTAGCAACAAAGAGAGTGTACTTGACAGAGAACTTGAAAATGAAAGCATCATCAGTGGAAGTCAGAGGTGAGTTTTGCTAAATGATCCAGCTCAAAGGTTAATACACAAGTGAACTTATTTGTACATCTGGCTTTATTTAATTAGTTCTCTTATTTTTAGCTCCTAAAGATCTCAGAAGATCTTCAGACTCAGACTCCAGTGAGAAGGCTTGTGGCTGGAGGATTAGCTGGAACAACATCTGTCATTGCTACATATCCACTTGATCTTGTGAGGTAAGTTAAATATCATAATGAAGTGAAGTGCTCATTACAGCACAATTACTTGTCGACTGTTTCCCTTGTTGCCTTTGTGGTATGGCAGCTAAATTGGGTCAATGGCCTCTGTGGTGTTGTCGATGGACCAATTTCGATAAATTAAAATTCAAAATGCAATAGACCTCAGCACGATGCTCTAGGGAATAAACACGTCTGCAGTTATTCCTCAGCGCCTCGCGCTTAGGTTTATTGTTTTAGGCTGAATTTTAATATATCAAAATTGGTCAATTTTTTTGTCAATGAAACCTTAAATTAAGCAAACTCATAATAAGTTGGAAAGTTTATTACCTACAGACTGAGTATTTTTAGTTTAGGAATTCTTTATTAATAAATATGCCAAAAGAAACATGCTCAGTATCGTATGTCTGGACTTACAATTTCATGTACAACTAACTGCTATAAAAAAACTAATTAGTAACAAACTATTTACAAATGTATTGATATTAATGAAGCCACACTGGAGTTTGGTAAATTGCAGGTTAGGGGTTAAGTGATTTTTTTTTTTTTTTTTCATCGTAGTGGTGGTCCATCAGTGATATAAGTTATAACTTGGTTCCACAATGACTTAGAGAATTATATTATTTTCAAATTTAATTCGCCAGTGTGCCAGATAGCTTGGGACTAGTGGATTTTGCAGTGTAGTGGATTCTGTATGTAAATGTTACTTACCAGTGGGCAAGTGTCTAGATTTTGGGAGAAAATGTCTTATTAGAATGAAATAATCAATCATCCTACTGAGAAATGTTGGGGGAATACTGAGAATGATTGCATATTTACTTTCACTGATTGATAATTTTGTAGGACAAGATTAGCAGCCCAAGGTAATGGGGCAGAAAGAAGATACAGGTTTGATCACAAATATGTACTTTGAAGTTTGAATTTGAAATTAACGGATTTTACAAACACCTTAAGTTATAACAAATTATTTATCCAACAGACTGATGTGATATTAGAAGATCCCAATTTATATTTAATTAAAAGTTTGGGCCCAGAGTGACCAAAGTGCAGTACATATCCTTTAGCCAGTGAACTTAGAATCAAAATGAATTATGAAACGGTCTTGTGGCAATTCCTGGACAACTCATCACTGTTTTAACTGTTTTAATTATTATTAAGATATCAAATTGTTAATTATTGCCAGTAGGTAAAGGTAAAGCTAAGTGGCCCATCAGGCTGGAGCTTATCCCAGTGGCTGTAACATGTAGCAGCTAGCAGTATTTCTACTCCCCCCTGGATAGAATGCCAGTCCATCGCAGGGTTACCTCTAGCATTAAGTTCACTGGTGCCCATATATACACCTGAGTGGAGAGAGGCACTGTGGGAGTGCAGTGTCTTGCTCAAGAACACAACACAGTGTCCCTGGCCAGAGCTCAAACCTGCACTGCTCATTCAGGAGACACTTTTTTCTTGAGCTTTACATAGGCCTTCTGGTCATAAGATGCTAGAGTTGACACAAATGATTAATAGATAAATAATATAAAATAGTTATAAATATGTAACATTGTCTGATTTCACAGAAATATTTCCCATGCTTTCCAAACAATTTTGAAAGATGAAGGAGGGCTTTTCAGTGGTTGTCTTTACAAAGGACTGCCGCCCACTGTAATGGTATGTTTAACTACAGTTGTTGAACCCTTATTAAGCTGTCATCCTTGGCAAAGTGTGAGGTTGCTGCTTAAAAGGGGTTGGTCTCTTTAGAGGGGTTCATCTGGTATTGCCACGAGACTTAATAACAATGTCAATTTATTCAAATACAGACGTGCTTGAAGGCTTGTGGTTGTTGCACATAATAAAGTCTAATGGACATGGAATCACGTCAAAACAATCATGATAATAAAAATTTGTGTTCGACAGTTTTCGTCAGTTGTCAATTTCAATTTCAGACTCGTCACCTTTTCCAAAACAAAGACAAACTACCTGTATTATAGTTTGGGTGCCTCTTTATAGGGGTAAGGAGAAAAAAAAACTCATTGCGATGACCAAAAGGTGGCCAGTTAGTAGGGGTTTATTTGCAGTATTTTAATCTCAGTACTGACGGATAACCGGCCACTTAAAAATATTAAGGGGTGGCCACCAAAATGACAGAGTTACATCCAGTAAACCTACATTTTTTCCCAAATAGTGAACCAAAACCTCATCCTCCTACCAAAGACACTTTTTTAAGAGTGTCCACTTCCCTCAAGTGACTAAAAGACCAACAAAGCGAGAATACAAGAATAAAAAAACGTTTTTTTAACGTTACTTTAGATTCCCTCAAAAGGAGAGAAGGAGAACTTCTCTGCTCTTGACTGAGTAAAACATAAGTTCAAAGGAAGTGCTTTCGAAAGCCATTTATATCTGACATCAAAATGAACGCAGTTCTTCACATGAAACAACAAAAATGAACACCATTACTAATAAATACCTCTGTCGTAAGACCCCGGACTGGAGTTATACTGTAGAATTCAAGTGTGCAATTCTGATTGGGGACAAAAAAGAGAAAAAAACGTGGAAGGAGAGCAAGGAGAGCAAGTTGTTTATTTTAGAATAGTAAGCTTTAAAGCTACAAATAAAACAGCACTCACAGCATTATGATCAGAAATACTGCCTTTTTTTAGGGAATTGCCCCATACATTGGCTTGAATTTTGCAGTGTATGAAACATTGAAAGGTATTGTATGCGTATTTCGTAATTTTTTAAGGTCTCCAGGAATGTATGTGTTGTAACTGCGTTTGTCACTGAAATCGAAACAACTGCCATTGATGCCGCCAAAAGTGGCTGTTCACAAAAATAAGACAAAAGTGTGATATTACAGACTTTTACTCCAGCTTACTCATTTGTGTTGCATAATTTTATGTTTTGCCTGAAAACAAACTAAGGTATCATGTTTCAAATGTTTGCAAGAAAATTTAGAAAAGTGTAACTATCAAGTTTGGTGTGTCAATGTCTTGATGCAAAGAAATGGCACAGATAAGGTAAAACATGCTAGGTAACTGACAACTCCTTTGACTGGTTCATCACACTCTGCAATAATTTCCTTTCAGTCTCTGATTAATGTGTATTTTTGCTCAGATTTTGTCCTCGGGCATTTCATTGTGAGGGCTCGGGAAGCTGAGTTAAAGAGGATGGATAAGGATAAGGAGCTACCAGTTGTTGTCCGTCTTTTCTGTGGAGGATTGGCTGGTGGTATTTCTCAAACTGGTAAGTCAGGTTTTCCTCAAACTGGTTATTCAAGTATTTGTCAGACTGCTAAGTGGAGTCTGTTTTTTTTTTTTAACTGGTATGTAAGTTAACTCACTAACTAGTATGTCAGGTTCTCCTCAAACTGGTAATTTGGATTTTTTTTTTTTTGGATTCGGTTAGTCGGGTATTTCTCAGACTGCTAGGTCGAGTACTTCTCAAGCTAGTAAGTCAGCTGAAAAGCTGAGAAGTCGAGGGTTTTCGAACTAGATAGTAAACTGGTAAATCAGGTATTTCTCGTTAGATGAATGTTTGAAGTCAATAAAAAGAATTTCTGCGTAAATGGACTTTTCTAAATATCCTAAGCATCGAAATTTTTTGAAACTCCGAAAAACACTCGTACCCACTGAAAAACGCTGGTACAACCTAATAGATTTGAC